TTAATAAGTATCATCTTCAATTTCCCATAACCTCTTGCTCACAATTTTAAGACCGAATGCTTGTGGCTACTTCTAGCTTTTTGTCCCCACTTAATATTTGTAGAGTTGTTTTTTTGCTAACACGATTGATGACAGTGCTAATGAAGAAGTTTGGGCTTATATATGAAGTCGATGTCGTTTTTTTGGTAAGACACACAGTGTCACCAAGAAAAGTTGACCTTAATATCATGATCATACGAAATGAATACTACGAAATTGTGTCTATATCTTCTATATCGGAGAAGAGAGTAGGATTGCTGTAGTCGCATTTAGAGACGTCGTCAAAAAAGTTCCAATTATACGTTTTAAAACTCCTATATATTTTATTGCCAGTCCCGTTTCGAGTTCGACAGATATAGTGATGGAAATGGGACTGTGATCTGAGCTGAGTGATATATCAACACTAATTCGAAATGACGAGAAATTGAAGTTCTCTAAAATGAGAAATAAAGTTTTTTATTATAATCTGTTAACATACGTGTAGCAATAAACAAAATGTACAGTTTAATGAAATTTACAAAACATGTAGCAGTTTGGAAAGAATTGCTATGTAAGTCCTGGAATTGTAATCTTTGAGATCTTATAGGGTACGCCTATGTAAATGACTGAATCCGATTAGGTTATCCATTATTTGGCGATCTCGATGGAAAGTTTTGACTGTCTCCTTATAAGACTATATATACAATATAGTTTAATGCCCAATACTTTGCATTTTGTAAATATATTCCTAAAGCATTAACTCATCGCTCTCACAAAATATTAGAATTAATCAAGGAGCAGCTGTATAAAATGGAAGTAAATGGTTGACCATATAACATCTCAATTGAAAGGCTAAAGCCAACTGAATCAAGCAAAACCAAATTAAGCAGACCAACAGAAGAAAGAAAGTCAGTATCATTCCAAAACACCAATAGTCAGTTAGTAAGAGTTCACAGTGCAAAAACTTATCCATTCCACTCAATAATCAACTAAAAAAAAACGTGAGCGTTAGCACGGCTGGTTAGGACAGACACTGAGAAAAAGTTACAACGAAGTACAACATGCAGTACTAAAATGGAACCCACAAGGTGTTAAAGGCAAGTCGAAGGTAATTTTGCGGAGAACAGTGACCCAGGAAACAGGGAAGTCGATTGGTGAACTTCGCATAATTGCGCTCAACAGAGATAATTGGAGGAGTGAATCTACTTTGTGAATAGACAATGTTTACAACTATGTAAATTGTAAATAATAATACTTAGTAAAAGTAATGGTTATATAGAATTTGTATATCGGATTATATTACTTGAATTAACATAACTAAATAAGTTTTTGCATACATCCGTCTGTCCATCCTTCTCCTATGCACAATTGTTTAAAAATACAATTCAAATTTAAATGGTTGCAAAATATTTTACTTATTTATATAAAAAATATTCTCTATAACTCTTTACATTTTGTAAATTATTATTGATGAATATATTGTTGAGGGTACAAACCAGTTGAGTTCACAAGATTCAATGAAGCAAACCTTACATTCAAACGATATATTAATATTTGAACTAAAACTGCAACCAACTAGAAGCATTTTAAATAGAATTTGAATAATATATATCTTGAAGAGTTTCTGCAACAATCTATTTAATTAAAAAAAGAAACTAAATTATATATATGAATAAAATTTAAAAAAAATTATAATAATGTCGAATCTTAATTGTTTTTTTTCCAAACGTATTTTATTTAGTTTTTGCCATTTAAAATGTTGTTGGACTACTTGTACTTCCAAGCAAAAAATTATTAATGTAATTTACTAGTAATTTTGTGTCAAAATAGCTCATTTTTTTATAATTGGCTGCAATAAAAATAAATAAATTCGAAATATTTTAAAGTGATAATCACTTTTGCAAGTGTTAACAAAAATAAACAAAAAATGTAATGGCGAATTACATATTTTAAAGAAAATGAAATAAATAATGTTTAGATATAATTATAAAATAAATTTAATACATTTTCGAGAGCTAATTTAACTTTACGTCACATATAATATAAATTTAATCATATTTTTTCTACAAATAGTGGTGTCGAAATGAATTTATATACTTATAGTTTATAACATACGTTAGTTTTAATTAATAACAAAGGAGATTCAATAATTAAAACTCTAGATTTGAATAATACTGTATTTATTAATTACTAATTAATTACTTAAGTTTCAACAATTAAGTTTAATTTATTTCAGTTGAAAATTAACTAAATGTATGACCAAACAGACGCGATATGTAGTTCATGTAACCATTACGGCATATGGGATGAATAAAATAGATGCGATTCGGATCTTCAGTAGTTTACGACTTGTACCACCATGATATTACATCCAAAACAATAGACTGCATGGTACATGATAGATATTTGTATTAAAACGAATTGACAATAAAAAATTGAATATAAAAAAATTATTAAATATAAAAGGAATAGCTAAAATTGCCTCTAAAAAAAAAACCAAGATTTTATTTTAAATTTAATCCATAAAGTATATTATTTTAATAAATTACTATTAGGCCTTTTCTTTTGTAAGCATGTCGCAAGAGGGCAAATAAAATAAGTACTACTTTCGATGGCAACTGTGGACAAAATGGAGATTTTTTTCGGCTTATATAAGAAAAAAACACGTAATAAAATTTAATGTTGAAATTTTGATAATGAATAATAATTCTTTGTAATTATTGATGAGAATATTTTTTTTACATGATTCTAAATAAAATATAATTTTTCGTGCCTTTTAACAGTAAAATAATAAATAGAAAAAATAACATATATGTTACGAACAATGACGACACGAAATACGAATAATTAACGAAATCATTCATTGACAGATAACGTATGTACTTCCAAAAATCGTTCACAATATGTTATTTCTGAAATAAGCAGTTGTTCTTTTTTGATATATTTATAAAAGAAAAGGCCTATTAATATTTAATTATTATTAAAATATATTTTAAATGTGCGTGGATAATTAATATTTTACTAATATAACTAATTCTGTAAAAATTTTTTTAAGCATATACATTTTATATAAAAAAATTTCTAATTATTAAACAAATATAATAAAAGACATTTGTTTATTTCAACATATTTATTTTAAATAATGCTAATGCCGTATATTGTTCAGCTCTGCATTACCGACATAATTTAGTATTTCCCTCAATCTGCGTCAATTCAACCAAATTCGCTTACCTTTTGTTTTTTCTTTTTTCTAAATGACTGTAAAGTTAACACTTAATATTAACTGTATAAATACGATCAATAAGATAACGAAAAAAAATCAATGTGCGATTCCAAAATATGGTTTGTAATAGTTCCGATCACAAACAAACTTCTAAGTGGAGTTCTACAAATATGGAGGCCATGTGTAACTGAACAACCAAATATACTTTGTTGCACTACACACTAAAAACGCTTCTCATTTTATAATGGATTCACACGATAATTTTGTTTCTAATTTCAGCTGCCAAAAATGTTCATTTTACATTGAAAGCAACAACAATTAATAACTAGAATTACAAACAAAATTCTTGTGCGAATCCAGTATTACACTTAGATGAAAACTTTAACGTTTCATGAACCACAAATTATTAAAAATAATATGAAGAACGATCAGTAAAGAAACAATATATATCATATAATAAACTGAGAGAAAATGCACCCAACAGGAATATGTAGATATCTTATACTAAAAACAGATAAGCCTTTAGATACAGTATAAAAAATCTTACATCATAATTTTTTTTTTTTTTGTATTATTATTAAGGACGTGTGCGAGTTAGGCTAAGTTGATGCTAAACCAAATGGGAGATTTTTTGAGATTTTTTGCACTGCACACATTTTGCCATTCATCAACACGTATCGACACATCAATACATTATCGACACAACTTAGAATTTCCCTCATTTAGAACGCAACTTAGGTCGTGTGCGAGTTAGGCTAAGTTGCGTTCTAAATGAGGGAAATTCTAAGTTGTGCCGATAATGTAGTGATGTGTCGGTACGTGTTGATAAATGGCTAAATGTGTCCAGTGCAAAAAATCCCAAAAAATATCCCATTTGGTTTAGCATCAACTTAGCCTAACTCGCACACGACCTTAGCCTAATTCGCACACGACCTAAAATTGCACCTAGTCTACTTAATTAGCAATATTAATATGGAGGACACTCGTATATGAAAGTGTAGAACATATCAATAAAATTTGATGTTTGTAAAGCATAAGCATAAATTTATTTTTAATATTTGATAATATCATAACTATTAGTGTTAATTAACGTGATATATATCACATTGTACAATGGATATCATTGATTGCATTTTGTATATAACAAATATACACCTCCAAATATTTGAATGATTATTTGGGTCGTTTGAATTCAAGTAAATTGAGGTAAAGAATATTGAAGTTTACTAGGCATTTTTTTCACAACACTTATGTAAATATTTATTTATTTATATATTGCTCTTACTTATTATTTTTGGTTAAAAGTCTTCAAATTTATTTATTAAACATCTTATAAAATTTTAACAAAGGTAACACCTAATTTTTATCTAATTTACTTGAAATTCTGGTAAATACCAACATTTGCTGCCGTACCGACATAATTTACTAGTTCCCTCAATTTACTCGAACTCGCACACGGTCTACAACTTAATTGTGCGACTGAATTTAATGAGCTAAATATTTACAAACGATAAATATTGTTATCGGTTTGACATGGCTGCCAACACTAATTGTACTCTGTTTGTTGCCGAGAGAAGAAACAGTGCGGCAAGCAAAACTAATGTCGTTTAATATTTCATTACAGTGTTGACACATGAAAGCAAAAATTTTTGATTGATTAAATTTATTCTCTGAACATACAACGAAGTTCAAACAAAAATTAAATAACTTTATAAAAAAATTTAATAAAATTTTTTTTTTTTTTATAAAATTGTGTCATACATACAAAAATTATTTATATGTTTTTTAAACCAATCAGTTCTACAGTACATCATCCATGCAAGTAGATTGATAAATTTGTTTTTGCCGGCTTAGTGGTTAAACCGCAACTAACTTTACTCAATTAGATGCATTTTTTGTAAAGTCGCGTTTGATGTTTAATTTGTAATCGGCTGTGTATATAGTAATATAAATATTTACTTTGTTTAGGATTAAGTAAACTGTGTTTGCCGTTAGAATGGCATTTCGCGATAATAATTACCGGAATGGTGATGCACAAAATTCTAGTGCTCAGCTTGACACTAGCCTTGAAATGCAAACATTTCCAGTTATGGTGGTTCAGCCCAGGAAATTGTGCTTTGCTACTCCTGAAAAAGATCCATCAAAACATTTAAAGGAGAACGTGGAAGGACTTGCATCACCGCCATATCGTAAGGTGCGTGCATTACGTTTGTTCGACACACCTGCAACACCTAAAACAATTTTGCAAAAGTCGGCGGTTAACAACTTGAATTCTGATAATGTTAAAGTGCCTGCAAATAAAATGACTGAACGTCCACTCTGTCTGCCTGTGCATCGTCGCACAATCCAGCATGTTCGTCCAAGCGCAAACATTAATCCGTTTACTCCCGATGGCAAGTACTTTTTGTTTTTTATTGTTATATATTTAAACGTCATAATTTTTATAGGGTTAATGGCATGTAAAAAGAAACGTTGTCGAACTCAGTCTGGTTTAAATAACTCGGTAAATACGTTCCTTAATTCAGAAGCAGTATGTGATAATGATGATGAGTCAATGGACATTGTGCAAGCACCAAAGCGATTGGCGTTGCAAGACACAAATATTAGTCGCTATCAAAAGGAGTTTAATGAAATATCCGTTATTGGTATGTACAAAAAACTCGTACAAAAAACTCAAAAACAATTTTGATTTTTATTTAATTACATTGAATCCACCTGTTTGTACTCACAGACATGACGGCGACAGCCTATGCAAATCTTTGTGTGTGTTAGTGTTATATCAATATTAACGTATATGAATGTTTTGAAAAATTTATATATACAAGTGAATTTTTCTATTGATTACTTTGAGGGAATTTTGTTTTAAAAATGTGTTCGCTATTTAAAGGCTTTTTAATAAAAACAGAGTTATCGTTTTTATAAGTACATATATACGCAGTTTTGTCCTATTAAAAAATTGCCAATGTTTCGAAGATTATCGTTTGTTTATATATTTATTTTTAAGTACTGTTGTACAATAAACGGGTCCGGATTCAATAACTGTAATATTAATTATTGTGACATCCCGCTGTGATGAAAAAGTCAAAAAATTTCAGAACGATGGTGATTTTTTTTAGATATACAATAATCATAGATACAAATTTACTATTTACCAAATTTAAAACTGTTTTATAATAAAATATGTTTTAGGTGTTGGCGAGTTTGGTTTAGTTTATCAGTGCCTTAATCGTTTAGATGGATGCGTTTATGCTATTAAAAAGAGTATTAAACCCATTGCGGGCAGCTTCTTTGAGTAAGTATAGTAAAATGCCTATTCTACAATTTGTTAATAAATAATTTTCCTTAACAGAAAACGAGCATTAAATGAAGTTTGGGCTCACGCTGTGTTAGGAAAGCACGATAATGTAGTTCGTTATTATTCAGCATGGGCAGAAGATAACCATATGCTTATTCAGAATGAATACTGCAATGGTGGTAGTCTGCAATCATTGATACAAAAACGTTCACTTGTTGAATCAGAGCTCAAAATTTTACTCCTTCACGTTGCAGAAGGCTTACGTTATATACATTCACATGATTTAGTGCACATGGATTTAAAGGCTGGTAACATATTTCTTGCAAAGGAACCAGTTTTGCATAAAACGACTTTACCATTACTGACTGAAGAATGTTATGAAAATGGAATGGATGGTGTTTATGCTGAATTAAGTAATACTGAATGCATTATTACTTACAAAATAGGAGACCTCGGCCATGTCACATCAATTAAAGAGGCTAATGTTGAAGAAGGCGATTGCCGCTATTTGCCCAACGAGATTTTGCAAGAAAATTTCACCAACCTTTTTAAAGCAGATATGTTTTCGTTAGGGATAACCCTATATGAGGCTGCGGGAGGGGGTCCTCTGCCAATGAATGGACCAGAATGGCACAATTTACGTAATGGAAATGTTCCATATATATCAACAATAAGTAAAGAATTTAATGACCTCATCAAATTATTGACTCATCCTGATCCGGAGCAGCGTCCTTCGTCCACATCTATTTTTAATAACCCGTAAGTAATTACATAAAACATAAAAGAAATTACAATACGAATACATGGGTTAGGTTGTGATTCTGTGACATGGAGATAAATCAATTTCATGTATATTATAAACACAATATAAAAAGTGTTATTATTGCTTTTGACAAAAAATAAGTAGGGCTTTTAATAAGGTCATTAAGTTTCATCAAAGATGAAATTCGATTTGGGGAAGTGGAAAACATTTTCGTTTCTTAATAGTCTAGAGTTAAATGATCGGGTAGTTATTAAAAAATCAAAAATCCTCTAATGCAAAAAGTTGCGACGTGAATGGATACTTTTAGAAAGTTTTGAAAAAATAACAAACACCTAACTAGTTAGTGCACAGTACAATATAATCAATGTTTCTTAAGTGTGTGAGAAATTATTAGTTGTCTCTTATAGTGAAATTCAATCACATAAAAAAAAAATAAATTCGTCTTTTAGTTTTCTGTCTTTGAACGTATTTTAAGTAATTATTTAACAATAAAAAAAAAAATTAAGTATAGAGTAAAGCAATACGTTAAAGAAAAACGACATTGACAAAGCGGACAGTAAAAAACATTTTATAGAATAGTATGTGTCGAAAAGTAAAAAAAGCTAAGAAAGGTTTAGAACTATTGAGAGGGGCACTATTTATATCGATATATATAATATATGTATATAGTCAATTTATATTTCGGATGATGTAATTTCAACATGTATTAGTAATACACAAAAAATCTATTTATTTAACTTTCAGTCTATGCACTTTATTTTTTATTTAATAAATTTTTTCATTAAAAAACTAAGTTTAATTCCTTTTTTTTTTCTTTTATAGAATACTCAACTCATTGGAATCAAAAACAAAGGTTCAGCTTAGACAGGAACTATTCATTGAGAGGCAAAAATATGAAATCTTGCTCAGAAAACTTCGAGAAGCTAAGAAGCAACTTAAAATAACTGAGAACAAATGTAAGTTTTATTCGGAAGTATTTTAGTTAATTTTATAAAAATTTTAAATATTAATATTATTAATTCTTATAGTGAAAAGCATGAACCAAAGTTACCCTGCAGTATTAGGAGAACAACGTTGCCTACGTTCTTTTTCTCAAAAGAAGCGATCTCTTGGTTTAACCACTAGAACTGAACGTCTTCGTGATCGAAACAAAAACCTGATTAGTAATAATAACAATAACAATATTAAATGTTAAAAAAATTATTGAATATATCCTTAGTTTTCATGTTAGTTTGTTATATCTTTTATATCAATTTTTATGTCTCACGTAACACAAAAAAAAATAGTACAATAATCTATAAAATACTCAATTTATAGCATAGATAAACAAAGTTAAACAAACATATCGAATATTTTTATATTTGTATTCTACTCATATTAAAACAATTTTTAACACTGCGTTTCTATTGTATTGTTATATGTATATAAATTATTAATAAGACGTAACATAAGTTTTTATTATAAGTACCACCTGTAGCATTAAATAAAAGAAGCCTGTGAACATTTTTCTGGGTAACCATAAGAATAAGTTCGGAAGTTTCTTCAACTTTTTATACCCATTTTTTAAAAGTAAATAAAAAATACTCTACGTACTATAAACAGATTATTTTATTTTATAATAATTTGGAATGGAGTATTCGGTGTACTTTAGAATGCTTAACTATATTCCAAAACATCTAAGCAGTTTAAAATATATGCAAATGTATCTTTTTCTTTTTAACATGGATTTAAAGTTTTAAAGATTAAAATATGGCTGCTTATAAATAGTGTATATATCTGATTGTTGTCAACCAAATTTTTAAATATTTTAAAACTATAAGTTTAATATTTTTAATAAGTAATAAAGAAAAAATGTTTATTTTTATCAGTCACACGTCAGCTGCATTATATTTCTTATAACTATTGATGCATTTATAATTATTTAATTTCAAAAAAAAAAATAAGTCTCATTGTATATATTCAATATATTAGGATAGACGAACTTATAAAGCACTTCAGATAATATTGATTCTATTTTCATTTGTCTTTTAATAACCAAATACCATATGACTTTCGACAAGTTTCATAAAATAGTTATTTTTTCATCCAGTAGATATTTGTACTAAAATAACACGAGTCCTTAACACACACAGACTAGGTCCTTTATATGTGATATATTGCAATTGTAAACTTGTCTGCATGGAAGCAATTGAAATTGCGTGATTTAAGTACGTCTCATTGCCTGGTGACTGGTACACCTTAACTAGTTGAAAGATAGCCATATGTATCAGTTCTTGGAATGTCTTTTCTTAAGAAAAAAAATTGTTTTGGTAGATGTAAACAATTTACTTATTTAAAAAACTAAAAGAAGTAGAGATAAATTATAACTGTAGAGTACTGATACAAAGGGAATATAATTGGCGAAAGATGAAGGCTGAATTGAATTTGTTGTAGACGTAATAAACATAGAAAACGTTAACTTTAGGATACAGAAAAAGTGAATAATTGTAACAAAACACAACATTAGATACATATTAAATAGTTAACTTTCAACACCTTTTATTATGCCTCAACAACTCTTGGAATAGTCGGAGCTACGTCCTGAAGCCATTCGGCGAGTTCAACAAGGAAGTACCGTTCGCCACATTTAAAAGGGACTACACAAGCAGATCCATGTAACAACAACATACCTCAATGAAATTATTTTTGTTGTATTGTCAGATGCTCTGAGTTCAGATATTTTGGACTAACAGTACAGTTTTTCCAAGCCGTTTTTGATATTAGCATTAAGAGACTAAACTGTAATGATTTGAGCTAGAAGTAATTATATCTCGATAATACAGTATATGCTATTTTTACAGTACATAGAATAAGTTTAATACACTCGAAAGAAAGCACTTGTTTTTATAAAGTAAATAAATATTATTACTGATAAGTGCAACAATAAATATTGCGTTTAAAATTAAACTTATTCGGATATTATTATAATAATTTTAACTTCATATTTAGATATATGGGGCTATCAAAAATAAAATATAAAAGCTAACCATATCGGTCATGCTTCAATCGTTTTTGTTGTTAAAATTTAAGTGAGAATACAAAATCTATAGCCCGTTTTATAAATTGTATTTGATTTGTCACCGGTGCAAAGGCATTGATTTTCTCTTCAATCGGCTAGTTTAACTAATTGATCGCATACTCGCTTTAAACAGATATCAATTCTTGGTTTCAATTTTAAGGTATGATGATGTACGATATTTGGTTGCCTATACAGACGACAGTATACCATGCGTGTCCAAGTCTGTTGTCAACATATCTTCCATCCTTCCGATCAAAATTTATTATTGCAGAAGTAAAATTTTTATTCAAACTTGTGCTGCTTGTAGAACAAATACCTTTTAGAGGCTTAAGCTCTACGATAGTTGAAGTTTCTGAATTTCGTTTACAATTCCATTTTAATTTTTCATTTCAACACCTACCCACTTATTCAACTAGATAATTATAAGCCATTAATTGAAAACGAATTTTTTTAATTATATTTATTATATATACATATATATATAAATATATATATATATATATGTTCATACATATATAATTTCGTGTATATATATCCTTTTTAATCGTGTTATAGTCTTTTTACAGATTTATCATTTTTATTAAAAATAAAAAAATATAACCAGATAATTTAACATTCAAAACTCTACAAATTGGCATGATTATTTTAAACTTTTTTATGTATTTATATATATTACAAATGTAAGTGTAAAATCTATTTCGATTTTATGTTCATTTTTTGTTGCATACTTTCTTAAATTTTTTTGTTCTTTTTCATTTTTGTTCTTTTTTTGCGCTTTTTTATATATATTTTTTTCTATTTATTTGCATTAAAAACGATATTAGTCAAAATAATCTTTATCCAGATCATCATTATCTTCATAGCATAATGATTCATACTGTCAGTCAGAGTCATTTATTTTTTTACGTTTCTTTGCTTGTGGTGCCTTCTGTTTAGACCAATCTTCCTATAATTGTAATATTCCATAATAGTAAAAAAAATTTCAAAACCAAAATATAAATAAAAATTTAACTGACCTCACTCGATTCCTCATCTGTTGAGTACATTGTTTTAACAGGATCTGAATTTTTCTTATTGGCAGCGGTATGGTTATTCGTTTCTTTTTTATTAACAGGCTGTTTGCGTCCTCGCCCACCTGCACCTCGTCGACCTACTGCAGTAGTGTCATCCTCTGCAGCTAAGGCAAATAAGTCACTGTATTGCTTCTATATACAAAAAAAATTTTTAAATTATAATAAAATACAGTTATTCAATACATAACATGTAATTTTTTTACTTTTGTGCTCTCATTACTGTGGGTGTATGCTGCTTGTAGGGCACGCTGCATTGTGTCATATATATAAAGACCTGTACCAGTACCATGCCTGCAACTGCGGCGATAATGTTCCAAGTGACTTAATACCTTCAAAGACAAAACAATTAATTGAATATAATTTTTCAGTTATTCTAATTTTATAGATGCATAGATGCATTTTATAGATGTTCCATGAAAAGGTGAAAGATGATTGTGCTTGTGGTTCCAGAAGCAGCCGAGTCTATCCAAGCGCCGCTCATCACACTCAAGCGGACTACAACAGCAGCATGGAATTTAATTTTTTGGGTCTAATGTTATTTTTGATTGGTAAATCTAGACTTGCTCTTGATCTTTCATTTCTTGCTGGAAACACATTTTAATTGTCAAATAACATAAAACAGCTGTTAATTTATGTAGGTACTTTTATAAATCTGACAAAATATCTAGACTGTTATAAAATAATCTCGGGCGTTATACAATTTGCTTGAGATTAACTAATCGAAAATGAAAACTGTACTAAAAGTAATTTTCAGGTATAAAAGTTACTATAGTTCAAAGAGTAACCAAGGGGTTTGTCAATTAGGAACGGCATAAGATAAACGACATAATATTAAGATAATCACAAATTTTTTCCATTTCAAATGAAATTAAGTATGAAGAATCTTTAAAATCTTCATACTTTAAAAAGTTATAAAGTAATTAAATCAGACATTGAAAATCGCTTCATATTTCAATAAAGTATCAAATTTGATAATACCATATATAAACAGAATTAAAGATGATCAATTAATTAACGGTAAAATTCTGCATTTACACTTTTGTTGCAATTTTTCAAATTTTTGCTATGGGGACCATCGAATTAAATATTAAAAATTCATTTTTTGATAGATTAAATATTTACTAACATTCACACTTAGACATAAACACTCATATATAAACAAAACGCAAACAAAATCATAATGACAAAAACAGCAGAGAAAATGAAGAAGCAAAAAGGTTCTAGCAGATCCGTAGTCCGACATTTATTTCGAAGGGGTTATTAGGTATTTGCAGTAATTTAAAAAAAAATTTTAACTTATTAAACAGTCATGATAGATCAATAGTGACTATATATATCAGTGACGACTGCTCTAAGGTGCGAAGGTGTGCGACGCACTCCTTAACATAATTTGCAAAATGTCAAATAGAATATATATATTCATTAAAATATCTTTACATCAAGAATTAATATTATTTATTACATTTACATATATATATTTTTAATGATTAAAGTATCAGCAAAAACAATTAAATATAATGGTCTATGAAAACTCAATCAATTTGTTCTCTTAGCTGCTATAGTTGTTAGTTGTGCTGACAACTTTGCACCTCAAATCGCAGAACATTTCTATTATATTTCGTCTCTCCCCTTTAAGCATTCAAAAATTGCATTCAAAAATTTCTGTCGTTAGAATAGAAATAGAGAAATAGTTAGAAATAGAGATTTATATAGTGGGAAATGTATGAGAATAATTATTCTATTCTACTCGCATATCAACTGAATGCATATGAATCCAACATGTTGATTTTCCGAAGCACTTAGTTGTGCGCTAAAATTTGCAGCACACATCTCAGTACATTTCTATTACATTTCGTTTCTCGCCATTTAATAGTAGCACCCGCTAATTACTTTCACTAGGTGTGCGGAAAAGTTGGCCGCACATTTATACGTTGTAAGTGTGTTCGATTTTGTTTGATCACAGCATAAACATATATGGTTTTAAGTACAGATTCTTTTGTTTGAAAAAAGTTGGTTTATTCCATATTGATATATTATTAAATTTTATGTAATATAGTTGTTGTTAATAAAATATCTGATCTATTTCAATTTATTTTATGCAAAAATTATGTAAAAACAACCGCATATCCTTGCAGATAGGAATATACTTATATATATATAAGGTTCTTGATTTATTTTGGGAAGCTTCAGCTCCTTTTACCACCCCCATTCTCACGACTCCTCCTGGCTACGTGGCTAGGTTTTAGGAGAGTTACTTGTCTTTTCAGACGAACAAGTGTTGCTAATCCGTCTCAATTCGAAATAAAACTGCGGGGCGGGCATCAACCCGGCGTATTACAATTATATAGAGAAAAAACGATGAAGTTTAATTAAAGTGGTATTAAAATTGTGGTTTATAAAATTAAATATTTCCTGTTTGAATAAATAATTTTTAATATTAAAAAATAATAAAATATTCATTAAAGCTTTGTAAATATCAACGTAATAAAAAGTAAGTAAAATATTCCACATTTATTGGATCATTAGAATGCCTTATTATAGAACTGGTAATATTTAAAAGATTTTTTTCATTTATAATTATATAATAATATTAATATTATTGTTTAATATTATTTATTTTTTAATTAATATTTAATATGAATATTATTAATATTAAAAAATAAAAGAAATAAAAAATATTATTTTAAATGCTACCAGTCCCCTGACTTGTCATCCTTGCATTCTAAGGATCCAATGAATCTTACCTACAAAAAAAAAACATCGCCAATTCTTATGATACATTTTTTTGGGATGCACAATACCAAAAGTCGCTGTAATATGAGACGTCATCGCAATCATACTACTTCTAAGACTGGACTGCTAATTTATGCGAAACTGAATGTTGTGATGAAAATTTTTTTATCCTAAATATTATTACTAAAATTTGTTATTAAAATAAATTTTAATATAGTACAAATTAATTAAATTACACAAATAATGCAAACTTATATATAAAGTGATACTACTTTTACTTTCACACAACAGAAACATTCCGAATGTTTTGAAATCTTATTTTAAGTGTGATGCTTATACAGAATATATGAAATTGCACCCGCTTTTATCGAATCTAGTATTTTTTGTGTATTGGTTTTACAGTCAATAACGTACTTGTCAGGTATCAGGTAGTTGCGATGCTTAGTTTCCCGAGTTAATACGAAAATCGTTCATTAATATGTTCGAAATGCTTTTCATTTTGCCGAACTGTTGGATCAGACATGACTTATGACATAGTCCTAAGAGATTATGAATAGTAAAACACTTTCAAGAAGATCTACAAGACACAGAAGATGACGTATCCTAAAACTTCAAGCAATTATGTTATATAAACTGGATATCCACATGGAATCAGTGACAGTGAACTTCGTTTCTAAACTACATTTTCTACTATTGATGAACAATTGTTTAATGTCGTCGTTGACTGTACACCAAATTTTCGTAAACGTATAATGACTAATGATGAAAGGTAGGTATATGGTCGCGATATCAAAATATAAAACTAATCGTCAAAACTGAAAGTTCCTAAAAGGCCAAGCATGTCAACAAGTAGACAGTTTTAACCCTCTTCTTTGATTGAATTGAAATAATTGATTGAAATCATAAATTTTTTTCGGCTGGTCGTACAATTAAAAAGGAAAATGTCCCACAAGTATTGTAAAATTTTTGGAAGACAATCCGGAAAAAACGATACGAACATCACCCATCTATTTTTTTGCTTAAATACGCACACAGGTGTAAGTCTTATTGATTTATAGTTTATTTCGTTGACGTCGCAAAATTTATTCATTTGGATATAATAATAGCAATAATAATAACAAGAAGTTTGGGAATAACTTGGACATTTTACACCACGTCCACGCATACAATTTGTTAATCAAACAATTTATGGAGAAAAATAATACACTGTAATGCCACAACTATTTTATTACCTAGACAAAGCACCCTGTTAAGTTTTTCTATTTCCCCAAATTCGAAAAAACACAAAGAACAATTTTTTATTAGATCTAATGACAAAATTTACCACGTTTAAGGGCAACAAAAGGTAGAATAAACATAGAATAAACACAAGAAGTTAGAATTAATACAAGAAGAAGATATGTTAAACACAAAAAAAAGATAGAGTAATAATCTTTTTAGATTGAATAAATACTGTTTGATCACATTTATAATCTACAATTAGATACTTTATATAAAAGTAACACCGAACATGCGATGAGACACATACAGTAAAAACAATTGGTTAGGTTAGTATACAAAGCAAATCAGATATTTATGAGGTCTAAAAACAATTTTCACTACTTTATTTCTAGTATAATATTGAGTTAATAAATTATTAAAAACAATTTATTAACATTATTCTAACATTATGAAAAGTTAATTCCGACTTCATACAAATAATATTTACATAGATTTCCAACTGATGACAAACGAAAAGAATAATGTTGATGATTGTATGTTTCGAATTTGTAATACTATATCAACACTAAAACCTCTATAAATAATAATTACATGAGGACTCACTTGATCGGCGGAAGGAGCACTTGTTAAAGCTGCTGCAGTGTTTTTAAGTGGCCGTTTTCTTTTATTAGGTGATGAACTGGGATATTTTGACGTCAATAGTGATGCTATAATTTCAGACAATTTTTCCTCTCCACGTTGGCACCAAAATCTGTTACTCGTTAAAAAGTAAAATGATTTAGTTTTTATTTAGTAAATTTTGAAATTGAAAATACTTTACCTAAGGGCAGACGTTACAAATGGATCACCTCTGGATTTTGTTTCTCTGCTTAGTAACAATCTAATTAATTCAGTTGAGGGTTCTTCATTCTTCAACAGCAACAACATGTAACTTAGTGCTTCTGGGTGGCTTGAAGATTCTAATTCAGGTAAAATAGCCTGAATTGTACAAAAAGTAAGATATAAATTAAAAACAATATGTATATATATGTGTGTCTAATCGTCTTTACGCTTACCTGTAAATAGCTCAGTGGCACGTCATGAGCCTGTATCAATTGCCATAAGCAAACCTGTTCAAAAGTTTCATATGAGAGGCTATCTCGTATACAATCTATTAATCCCTCTTGCTTGAATAACGTAAGTTTACCTTGGGCAATATAATACATAAGATCGCGTAAATTCTTGGCATCAATGCATCGTAGTGTGATGAGAAGCAATTCACTATTATTAATTGCACATGATTTAAATTCCCGATATATGTCTGGCAGTAACCAAAGAAATATGTTTGTATTTTCTTTTTCTAATAGATCTAGATCACGGGTAAGGCATATTTCGATCTTTTGTCCTGTTGCATCACTCAATTGTCTGTATACGCTCGTCTTAAACTGATACGTAAGTTGAACATTTTTACGAGTTTGTAATTTCACATACACTTTCATAAAGTATAAAAGCAGGTACCCAGTTTCCGACATTCGATCACATATTTCTGCCAAAAATGTTTGAAACGGTTTTTTACTCTTTTCTTCGCTCTCATATAAAAAACGAAAAAGGCCAAAAAGTGGATAGCTTATACTTTTGGCAAGATTTTTTTCTTCGGTCTTACTTTCAGAAAAGAGATTTTGCTGCGGTAATGTATCACGTAATATAAAATGCGTATTCGAGATCACATAATTTAATTGAACTTCATCCAGCGCAGAGGCTAGTAATGGGTGAAAATCCTCTAAAAATCTCTCAAACATATAAGAGCTTTTCTTTGCGACAAATCCTTCAAATGATTCACTTATCGATGAAGGAAGTTCAACCTTTTCTGGTGCTGGTTTTTCCTTTAATCGTACCTAAAAACATATTTATAAATTATATAAAATACATATAATAACAGTTATTTATATATGAGAAAAAATTTATCAATCATATTATTTTGTGTTATAAAAGTTATATATATATTTCTCAGAAATATATAATATATATATATTAAAATAGCACAATTAAACAAAATGACTTTCAAACAAAAATGGGACATCATATTATAAATATGCTATTAATGTTTCACTTCAGTTCTCAAAAACTCGAATAGAATTCTTTGAATGTAGCAGTATTGCGGGTCTGAACTTTGTCTTTAATATGAGGTGAACTATCTCGTAAAATACACAACACTTAAGCAATGTGTACTGTCACTAACTATGCCTACGGACCTACCAGATCTATACGTCGTCTCGATCAGTCAGCACCATCTACCCACCCACCTTCCTGTAAGTCTAATTTGTAAAAGGTTATTCTAAATGTGTTATTCTAAGTCATCGATATATACTAGGGTGATCCTAAAAAAACTTTTTTTTCTGATTAAATTGCTTATATTATTCCCTAGCACCTTACTGGAAAGGAAAAAATGTGTTTTCTTTCAGATTTCAGTACCACGCCTTTTTTACGTTAGATCAACGTATTTCTATTTTTGAATATAATTTTATACTATTTTGGTATAATTGTTTGAGAATATGAAAAGATTTAAAAAAGATTAAGATTTGTAAAATTTTTTGAATAAACGTACAAAATATATAAAAAATGGTTATTTTTATATCTCTGTAAATATATCTCTCTGTAAAATAATCTCTCTGTAAATTATATCTCTGTTTCTATATCTCTGAAACTTTACAAGCCTCTGCAAATGGAAAATAAATACTCTACATTATATATTTAAGCGATTTTATCATTTTAGGTAAGTTATCAGCACGTATTTATAAAATCTTTTTATACTAAACAATGAAACCCCAGATTATTTATGTACTTCACACATAACTTACAAGAAATTTATGAGGAGCTGATACCTACATATACTATATTAGAAACTTATTATAATTCAAATTATTTTATACTAGAGATAATGATATATAGAATTGATATTTGAGGAACTTCTTCATCTACATACATAGAAAAATTTACTAGTTTAGTTATAGAAACGGACCAACATATTTTCAATCACAAATAAGTTACTTAATATGATCATTTAAATACAATAGTTTAATTGAATTGAAAAATTATACTTGAATCTATTAGAAAAAGCAAATTTTTGTATTACCTTCGATAAAGGTAAGTCATCATCTTCGTCTGTGATCTCTCCACCTTTGCCCTCTTTCGTAACTTCCTCATCATCACTGAATGCTGCTTCAATTTCCGTATCATTACATTCTGCTGGTATTGTTGAAATCTTACTGTCGTCATCAACTATTGAATTTGCACCACCCCCACTTATGCCTACAATATTATTACTACTGTTATTAATGTTATTGCTATTATTGGTGTTGTTATTATATGTAATATTATTATTGGCATTATTATTGATAGTACTGGTGCCACCACCTGCATCAACGGCTGTACTTTCGCTTTCACTTAAATTTGTATTGGACAGCACGTGGTTTTGTACGTGTACATCCGAGAATTGCTGTGGTGGTACAGTATTATTATTGTTATTATTGTTACTGTTATTATTATTATGGAACACATTGCTCTGGTGTATAAAGGCATGCACAGTGTTATCCTTTTTCAAAGGCGGCATTGTGTAAACTGACTGTTGATTAACATTCAAAGCGTTGGGAGTAACGAATTCCCGAAAGTTCTCACGAATTAAATTACGTAGTTCACGATCGATTTTTGGTGACTCAAAAAGAGGTTGAAGATTTGGAATGACCTAAAAATAGATTTTATTATTTTAAAATGCAATAAATATGATATGCAACATCATAGAACACTTCAGTGTATTATTGTATATTCAATGGCTTTATTTTATTTTATATATTTGAAACCTAATTTTGAATATAGATTTCTGTTTACGATTGAAAAAAACAAACCATTGCTATATTTACAATATACACTAAAAAGTGTTCAATATTCCGTTACAATTGTAACAATGAGTTTAACTAGTACCTGTTTTTCAAGTATTTTGTGTAGTGAGTTATATACACCTGTACGAATTTTGTCTTCATGTTTAATAAAAAAATTTTTCGTTATACGGCATAAAAAATCTAATAATGTGGTACTAACAAATGGATGATTTCGTATTGAGTGGTACATCACAAGTATGCCAGGCTCAATATTCATAATATTATCTTTAGTCGGATCGAAAAAGAGCCAATCATAAAAAAGTGATAATTTAGCATTTGCTAATGCTACTGGATTCGTACACGAAGATATAAGCCAACCGATAATAGCCCAACGTGGAATTATGTCTGAGCATAACATATCATTTGAAGGATGAATTACATTAATTATAAAGCGGATTAAATCTGAACGAAGCGTATGTGATTCAGGTGTTGAAAAGTACTTTTCTTGAAACCAATCTTGATAACGTTTTTGATTCCCAAATTTAACATTAGATGCTAGAAAATGTAATTTACGCTCGATTTCCGGTGTAAGGCGACTTTGCAAGAAGCGACGACTTGTTCGGATCTGTAATAGATGCCAAATGCCATTAAACGACGGGTGTAAACGTTTTGGATTGTGGAGTATATCGCGCCATAACTGCTCGAATTCTGGCACACGTGCTACATTTTGCAATAATCTAAAAATAATTTGTCAATAAAATAATTTATGTAGAATAACATTTTTTTTTATTAACTTTACCTTACGAAATCTCTTCCCAATGGTATCACATCCTGAAACCGTTCACGTATTATGGACACAACAAATTTAACCTCTTTTTGACGAAGAACTATTAAGGCTTTCGTGCAATGATCTTCAATCAATCGCACATAAGTGTAGGCTACTGCTTGCACAAGAAACGGTTGACTTTCTAACCATGAACGATGATCAATAAAAATATCCAACAAGCCTTCCACCCACAATAAATTCTTTGGAGAATTATCACCACCACCAGCTTGACGCAAACAGTTCCATATGATATTTTCAATATTTAGTACTTGATGTTTGACTAGTTCACGAAGTAACCAAATCATTTGCCTCCTTGCAACTTCAGTTAATTTTGAATATTTTTCCGCAATCAACATTGTTAAGTGTGTGACTAACGCGTTCATTCCATCACGGGCTATTAGTGTCATATCACGATATGTTTTCTGTGCTTTAGGTGGATCAGTTAACATTATACCCAAAAATCCTATGGATATTTCCTCATGCTGCCTTTCCTTACATACCAATTGCGAGAGAATATCGTGCATTTCTTTGTCGCTAAGGCCATTTATTTGTTGCTGAATATTTGTGTGTGCCCGATCGAAGCGCTAAAAGTTTTAAAAATTTTCTTTAGTAAAGTAGTATTTAGGACAGTCGACCAAATCATTATTATACCATACACTCTAATTTAAGTGTATCTTACTATCGCTTATTCAGCCAATTTTATTGGTTTTTTCTGAGTAAAAATAATAAATCTGTGTATTCGCTTTATTGAAAGCGTTTAAATTCTTTAGAAGTGATATGCAATTTGAAGAACTTATGGAAAAAGGCGGGAATGCGATACAAAACTCTTTCCGAGAGTTTGCTTTTTTAAAAAGCTAAAGGTTACTGGAAGTTAATATAATATCCATCAATTGCAGTGACTGCATTTATTTACAAGAATTCTTATACAGTTGTATATTTAAATATTTTTAAAAAGTGTACGTTATTTTGGAGGAGATATTAGAATGAAAGGAAACAATAACCCCAACACGTATTGGTTTAGAATTTATATTTTTGCTAAAGTTTTTGGATTAACACTTATCTACAGATTTTATACGTAGCGGCTTTTTATTCCCATTTCGTGAAATAAAACTACACTTTTTATTTGTAAAACATGTTAACATAAATTAAGAATAAGTCGTATGCACAAAACAGATTTGGTGCACTGACCCTCTTCGAAATGCTCAATATAAATGCAGTTGCTCAAATAATAATAACATAAATTTACAGAATTTTAATTATGCAACATTAAATAAGTAATATAAACAAATTATATATTTAGTAATTATACGTTGCTACAAGGAGATAACTATTTTATTTATTAAAAAACAAACAAATGCGCGACATTACCTCTTCTAAATCATCTTTACCATCGATGGCAGTACAGACGAACAACTTCGAGATGAAACAACTTTTTTGTATTTGTTCCATTTGTATTGCTTCCTGTGATTACACGATGTTTGTTTACTGTCTATATCAGCTTATATGCATAATCTCAATGTTCAAATTTAATAAAATACGTTAAGCTTAGTACTAACAATATTACATTTAATTATATGTTATAAGTTAAAAGAACGATAATCTCATACGAAACACAAATCCACGAATCCAACTCAATATCACGTCAGTGTTGCGCGACTACTACTTGCAACTAATTTCAACTACAACGCACGGTGCTAACTAAAAAAGTGTTGCCTTCACTTCCAAAATGAATTTGACAACAAACAATGTGTACTAAAAGTGTTTCTGTTTTCTGCAATTATCTCTTATTCAAATGAACTCAGAGCATATCTTTATTTTTATAGATGACATTAATTATTTCATTAATTTTGATAAATACAATTCTATATAGTTAAAGTCACATCGTAATACAAAATTCATTGTTAATACAGTGTTGCGATGATTCATTAACAGCGGCATTTGATAATGAAAATGTTTTTAAATAATTTGTGTGGTGAGTACGAGTACCACATATGAGAAAAATATTTATACACGCTAATACTTGCTTTTTGTAACTGTACTTTACGTATTAAAATTATGACTTTCCAAAATACATCAAAACAACAATAAAAAACTGCAAGTCTCTTTTAAAAGTCTCTCGGCAATTTGTACTCAAAACCACAACACTACTTTCTTACTCTGACATACTAGTTTTACAAATTTGAAAATTGTGGTAAATAAATCTCTCTATTACAAAAAAGGAATATGTACTGTCGTATAATTATGAACTCATTACCTCCACACTGCAGTGTTTTCGTGCCTTTATACATTTATTTTTATCATTGAAGAGCAAAAAATAAATAATGTGTCATCGAATCTCAAACTTTTTCAAAAACTTCAAAACTAGCACAAAATTTGATTTTTCTTCTAGAGAATGTTAAAAGTACATACTTATTGTTGAACATGAAGGAGTACGTATCAATAGGTGCATTCGGTAGCTGGCAAGTGTGGAAGAAACAGCATACTGGCCTATAGGCGCTAAGTGAAATATTGGCACCGCTGTTGCAATCTGTCAAATGTTACGTTTTCGCAAACAGCAAATCTTGCATATGTGAATATAAATCAAGCAAACTACATTTTTATAAAAATAAATAATTAATATAAAATTAATAAAATGAATAATTAATTAAAAACAAAGTTAAGAAAATTTCTTTTGAAATTTTTTTTTAAAACCAAATTAATAATAGTTTAGAATATTTATGCAACTAATAAGTTAAAAAATTTAAAGCGCTTCTTAATTATATTCACTTCATGTACCCATATAAATTTTTGTATATAGTTATGCATTAATATTTTATTTAATATTTTAAAAATATGATTTCTCACAGTTTTGCATATTTTTAAAATATTCTATTTTCAAATTTGTGAAATATTTTAATTTTGTTCGAATTTTTGTTTACAAACTTTGACATACGATTAAAATATTTGTTGAAATTTCTAATGAAGATTGACAATAGTTCGCTTATTGCGTTGGTAACACTTTTTTTTGCTGGTCAAAATCTTTGGCCACTTCAATACAAGGTGCTTAGACAGAGAAAGTAGTGTTGTTGTTTTGCGTACATTTAACCATACTTGCCATACTTGCAAATCACCAAAGCCCCCTTTTATTTTGAAAAAATACAAAATTTTTTATGAATATATAAAAAAAAATAAAAATAAAAACTACACCTAAATTTTTGAATTTGTTAGTTGCTAACAAGTTTATTCTTATTAAAGCATGAATATTTTTAACTAGTCTGTTAGAGTACTAGAGTATTTACTTTTGTAGTTTTGCGTGCAATATAGTGGCTTTAGCAGGAGAGTTATTGTTTGTTATAGCACTTCGAAGCGACAGAATACATATATAATTAATTATATTATGGAGCGGTCTTATAATTATGTTTGTTGTAAAAGAAAATTTCAGAATTTTTCACTATTGTTGTTAATTCGTAATTAATTTTGGTTTTTACAAAATTTAGTTTGCTTTGAAGTGTACGTAAATACGTAATACTGCGAAAGAGATTAAGTTAATCTGTATTTTTAATCTCCACCTCAATGTTCAAATTGACATTATACATTGAAGATTAATTTTGACGTTTCACTTGTTATGTTTTGTTTCGTGTGTTTGATAAATTTCCGTAAATAAAACATTTAATTACAATTTTATAAAAAATAAATTGTAATATAAATTTAATATGTAGTTTTATAACAATAATTTAATAAATTTTAGTTATGTATAAAACTATTATTAAATAAATTTATTAAAAATTTTATTACTTCGGAATTTTCAAATTTTCAATGTTTTTTTTGTTTCGACTAGATTTTGACATTTCTTTTCTAATTATTCTAAGATCGTAAACAATCTACGATATTAAGCCATTTGCAGAGTTAATCTCGATCAAAAGGAGATTAACTTTTGTATAGGAAATCTGAGATTAAACAACGAGGTTAGTACTTTAATCTCGATTTTTGTTTTGATCGACTTTTATTCACATAAGGTAAACGCTGTATAAGACACGATTTTTAAATACGCTTAATGTTTAATTTTGAGTACAATTTTCATTTTTTATGCAAGATTACTTTAATGTAAAACGTACATAAGTATGAAAACAGCACCATATTGTTTTATATATTAAAAATATTTCAAGAAATTGAAATAAATTACTTAAAAAATATAAATAGAAATAAAAATGAAAATAAAAAATTGATTTCACATTAATTATTTTTAAACTCATTTTTCCAATTAACGTCTGAAAATTATATTAATACTAATATCATAATAAAACATATAAATATTAGTCATCAAAACAAATTTTAAGTTTTATTAAGAAGAGAATAACGAAAATATATGAAAAATATTTAATTGGATAATAACAGTAAGTTTAAACTTTTGTTTATCTTACGCAAATCAGTAATTTTTGTTCAAGAAAAGTATATGTACTTACATCCTTCTACCAGGGTTTGAATTGCTGTGATTATTTTCAAGCAATTATTTTAAGCAACTATGAAAATAAAATAAGCAAAATGCAAATGCAACAACAAAAACGCAAATATTTTCATTAACTATGCTTACGACTCTACAGGATTTTATGCAGCTGCGTGCACATATATACGAATTGTGTGTGGTTTTGCTGTTGCATTTGCATTTTGTTTATATTATTTTCGCAGTCGATATATACGTATATAAGCAATTATATAAATATAAATAATATATTTATATATATAGTTTATTGTTTTCAAAATTTTATTATTTACTAATTTATTAAATTTTTGGGTGATCATACAGCTGTTTCTATTGCTATTGTTTGATTTTTATTTTTTCCTCATATTTACTTATTTTATTTAATTCTTGGGCTCTAAAGTTGCTGAATCTTCTGACTCCAACATCAGTAATGTGATGTCACATAAGTCCAGTTAAATTAACAGAGAAGGAAAGACTCTCATTAACCTGCTGCAATGGCGTAACGAAGAATTGATCCATTGACCAATTGTGTCTCAAAGCTTCAGCCATTCCCGGATACCACACTTAAAGTGTGGCAGGGCGGAAAAAATATGTATGCATCACAGTGTCAACGTGTGCCCTATCTGGAAGAGTGATTGACTCTTCTGCTAAAATCAAAAATGATAAATTGAAATAGATGAGATGTTTTAATATAACAATAACTATATTATATTACCATATTATAATGTTGTATTTACCATATAATACGGCATTTACACTGGCCGAAAATACCTCATTTTGGTCAAAAATCGAAAATGAGAAACGAATGGCTCATTCTTGCATACAAAATTTCAAGTGCGAATGCGATCCATTTTATCACATGAATGTATGAATGCGTCCCAAGGATTTTCGAATGCATTCCAAATATGTTCCAAATGCAAAGAAATACATTGTACATACCCTAAATAAAAGCTCTTCATAGTATTTTGACAGTTTGAGAAAGTTGTTTTTGAGATATTTACAAAAAAAGGTAAACAAATGTTTGGTGGTTGCATTTTCTTCAAAACGATGCACCCCTTTTTAGAACTTCTACTTCCCAAAAAGTAATTAATCGAAGTTAAAAATTTGTTTTAAGTTTATATTGTAAGGTTTGAAGACATATTTAACTTTCATGCAACATTTTTTTGGTACAGGTCACAAATCAAATCAGCTGTTTGAAATTAGAACAAATGAAATACAATGAAAGTAAACACTTTCAAATGGCTCATTCAAAATAAGCCATTTTCGGCCAGTGTAAACGCCATATAATATTTAACAATACATTAACAAAAAAAACTTATTAAATAAATTATATTAAATTATTAATTTATATACATATATATAAGTTTAATATTATACCAATATAAATCAAAGCATCAAAGCAACTTTTTTCGAACAAAAAAGTCTGTACTCAAAACCATAGGTAGTCATGCAGTGATAAATGTGCGATACACTATTGCGCATATAGATTTTTCAGAAACCTACTATTAAAAAGGAAGAGAAGTAATGTAATAGAAATGTAGAATTTGTGATTGCAATTGCTTAAAGAGAAAAGATGAGGTATAATAGAAATTTTAGGATTTGAGCTGCAAACATAGAAGCACATCCAACAACTATAGCAGCTAAGAGAAGCAAATTGATTGAGTTTTAATAGACCATTATATTTAATTGTTTTTGTTAAAACTTCAATCATTATATGTAAATGTAATAAATAATATTAATTTTCGATATTAAGTTATTTTAATGTTTTTATATAGTTTATTTGACGTTAATCAAATTATGTTAATGTGTGCGCCACATACCTCCACACCGTAGAGCAGTCATCACTGGTGCATCACCTTTATTCCCCCCTCCGCTGTGCTACCACTGGACATTTTGCTGCCTTGTTGGAGAAATGACATGGCACATGCATGTCATCGTGGGGGATTCTCAGAACTATGGAGGACAAGAGTGGTGGAAAAGCTATCATGCTCTCGGTAGTCAGGCAGGGAAGCCGTACCTGAATTTCACTCAAATTTACGTACGTATTAAAGGAAAGCCTAGTGCACCTAAACGACTAACGACAAAAAGGTCTCCAACGACAGAGAGTCCCAGTGACTCCAACTCATAGGTACCTTATCCCAAGAGATCGTATTCAAATGAGAGAATCTAGCACCTCGAAAGCACAGGCAGACAAGCCAAGTGACACAGTCTACAC